ACAAGTCACAGCACCTCCCCGTGCCTCGGTTTCCCCAGCTGTAAAATGGGGATAATCACACTGACCTCCTTTGCAAAGCTCTTTGAGACGGTATAAATGAAAAGTACGAGTTAAAAACTACGTATTATGATGGGGATGATTGTAGGGGAAGCTTTTGGGTGGGACTGCCTGCCCATGGCACTTTCCGTTTGAAGCCTGCCAGCTCCGTTTACTGGTGCTCAACGGCTCCATGTGATCACCTGCATTACAACTCACACCCCCACCCCAAAGCCCAGCTTCCCAAGAGGAGCGTCTGTGCAGCAGAGAGGGCTGGCAGGTTTCTGCACAGCTCTTACCAGTTTCTGGAGGGAAGAGAGCTCCTCCGGCAGGTAGCACAGGCCCGTCCTGTTCAGCTTCAGCCATCGCAAGCTGGTCATGGCCTTCACGTGGTCAGGAAAATAGCCACCCTGAGAGGAGAGGGGGAGAGAAAGTCATGTTGCGGCATCCGATCTACAGAGAAATGGGCATTGCCAGGTTTCTCATCCACCTGAGATGAAACAGCCTCTGTGCTCTTAACACCCTCCACCACACCCCAGGTGTGAAACCAACCCAGGCCTCTTTGCCAAGATCCCTGTCAAACATACCAAGGCGACAGGCCGTTCTGACAGTGTATGCCTTATTGTAACAAACCCCCAATGAAATGCACTCGGACATCGCAGTTACCATGAGGCTGACACATCGGATCGTCACAGGGACAGCTGGACAGGACTCCGAGCCGCACCCCGCTGTCCACACCTCAAGGGCTCTCAGCCCCTGCTCCCCCCTCCCCCAAACATCCTGCAGCCCCCTCATGGGATTCTTACCCTGGGACCTGCACCCTCAACAGCCCCCTGCTGTCCCTCCTGTGCGGCTCTCGACCCCTCCCCTCCACCACCCTGCTTATGATTTATTTCCCTGCTTATGCAGCCGAGGATCACGGTTGCCCTCTTAGCTTAGAGCACTGGTGGCTACAGGTGCCTGGTCTACAGGTTTTAGAGAAACTATCCCAGTGCACACTTGCCCAGCTAGGATCTGCCCTGGGAATTGACACAGAGGAGGGGAACATCTCCATGGCAGAGTGTGAATGGAGAAATGGTCAGGCAGGTTACGCAAGATGACAGGGCTTGGAGGCAGCATAAATCCCATGAACGGACACCAGCTGACCCTGATTCTGCAGCAGCCCAAGCATACGGGTAACTTCATTCTACAAGAGCCTGCTCACTGGCTTCGAGGGAGCTGCTCCCACGAGTGACACGTCATGCATGAGTTTCGGTCCCTGAAGCATCATGGCCTTAGCAGGCATGTTGCCACCTCTGTCAGGAAGAGGATTTGCTTTCTAAAGAACAACCCAGCCTCCAGAGCCCCATCCTGGGAGGGGAGGGGCAGAGGCTCGTACCTGCAACAAAAGGCCTCTCTAATGTGCAAACTGCTTAACCCAGATTGTGCAACTGCATTTTACAGGCTGGCTTAGCAGTTGGTTTCCAGCAACAGGCGGAGGCCTCAACCCTGCCAGCCACCTCACAGGACAGACCCCTGCGCCCGTCCCCAGTCATACCAACGGGAACCTGCATGGAACCGCTGGGACGATCAGGGCCTAAGTGGCTATTATTTTGTTTAACTACCTTCCAGGTCAGGTATGCCAACACTGGAATGGGAGGGCTCAGTTGTTGTGTGTGTGTGGGGGAGGTAATCGCAAAGGAAGCTCCTGAATTTTAACCTTGGAGGAGGTAAAGTCTCTGTGGGCCCCATCAAGGGCCAGCAGAGCAGCAATCCCGCTCCTCAGATGCGGCGACTGGCATGGGCCAGCGTGAGCTCATTATCTGCCCGGCCTGGTTACAGTTTCACGCAGGGTAGGAATCAGTATAAATGTAGCACATTGGTTCATCCCAGGGGTCAAGCTCCTTAGTAGCACAGTCAAATTATGCATGCACCAAATATCATCATGTCACACCACTGGGGCAAAGCTGGGGGGAGTCGTTTATGTCTCATGTACGCAAGCAAAATCACCCGTGGCCAAGGACAAGTAATGGGCCCAGGGAAACAGGGTTGACTTGCGAGCAAAGCCAAAGGACTAGCAGCACCCAGCAGCATCTTAACCCCTGGTCGGAGAAATATAACTCAGAAGAGCAGCATTACCAAGGAGGAAACAAGATTGGGGGATTAGAGCAGGGCACTGGGAACAACAGTGCCTGGGTTCCATTCCCAATTCTGCCAGCGTGGCCGTGGGCAAGTCACTTCATCTCTCTGGGATGCATCAGAGGTTCTCACCCTTCTTCTTTCTGTGCCCCAGAACCCCCCGGACATGTTATAAAAACTCCACGGCCCATCTGTGTCGCAACAACTGGTTTTCTGCATATAAAAGCCAGGGCCAGCGTTAGGGGGTAGCAAGCCAGGCAATTGCTCCGGGCCCCACGCCACAAGGGGCCCCATGAAGCTAAGTTGCTCAGGCTTCAGCTGCAGCCCCGGGGGGCAGGGCTCAAGGACCCGGGCTTCAGCTCCATATGGTGGGGCTTTGGCTTGGGCCACAGCAAGTCTAACGCCGGCCCTGCTTGGCAAACCCCCTGGAACCTGCTCGCGGCCCCCAGTTGAGAACCGCTGTTTTACAAACTTGCCCCCTTTACAGGGATCATGAGGAGACTTAATTCATTTCAGTGCATGGAGCCCTGGTTTAAAAATGCTAGGCAAACGCCAAGTCTCATCAATGCAGCCATTAATAACAGCATAGAGCTGAACCAACATGACAGTACATCGTGCTTTTCAGCCTGCCATGGGATCCATTCATATCTCCTCCCCCTCCAGGCCCCAAAAAGGGGCTCTGAAATTGCCAGGCATCTCTAACAACTAAACACAGCCTCTCCTCCTCTCTCAAAAATCAGCTCAACAGAGGCACGCACAGCTCCAATCCCTGGGGGAGGTCTCTGGAGGATAAAAACCCACCGCAGTAGCTCAAAGCATGATCTCAGGCCCCACGGTGCAGCCACAGGGGTGAGCAACTGTCTAAAATTAGCCATGCAGGAAGCAGGCAGGGCCTAGACTCTGGGAGCTGCCCAGCCACCTCCCTGTCTGTCTCCTAGCCCTGGGCTTTGCCCACAGCCCAGCCCCAGAATTAAACTCCCCTCCCCCCACCCAGGCCAGTTCAAGGGGGGCCCTGATTTACCTTGAAGTCATTCCCACTCAGATCCACCCCCCTGATAAAGGGGAGCACTCCAGTGGCAGCCATTATTCCTCTCAGCTGCAGCCAGTGGGGCTGGCTGATCCTCTTGGCAGGGTGTGTTACATTGACACAGCCCTAAAGGAAGCAGGGGCTGGCCCTTCGCACACTACAGCCAAACTTGATGGAGGCCGGGCTCTCCCTCTTTTAACCCCTTCATTAACAAGGGCGCTACCAAATTTCCCAGACTTAGAGAAGCCTGCTTTTAAACACACACCCCAGGGGGAGAAGTGATTGCAGCTGCCTGTCTTGTGCAGACACACAATTTGGTGCAAAGCCCCCTTTGTTTGGTCCCTGTGGGGAAATCTGTCCCCATTCTCCTTTGCGGTTCATTCTCACCTACTGCTGAGAACTCTCCTAGCTGTGCTCCTCCAAGCACGATTTTTAGATCATTTTTCATACCCTCACGTATCCCGGCCTAGCCTCCTGTAACAGTGATGGTGCGAAGAGGATGTTTGTGAGGCAACCTGACTTGTTAGTGTTTTCATGTGTGATGTGGAATGTTTTAAAGACACGTTACTAGCATTACGGCCTTACTGAGCACACCTGTTGTTTGCAGCCATTAGGAGTGCTTTGTTCATTTTTATTATAGCTCCTGTCCTCGTGAAAGATCCAAAACGCTCCCCAAACTCCTGAAACGCCGCCATTTCCGGGGGGAAGGGCAGCAATCGGTGAAGGAGAGGGGGTGTATTTGTGAAGGATGCTGGGACGAACGTCGACTGCTAGGAAAATAATATCGAGCAGATCTCAAAGTGCTTTACAAACAAGGGCAGCATCATTAGCCCCATTTCACAAAAGGGGGAACTGAGCCAAGGTGCTTTCCCAAAGATACCCAGCTAGGACTAGAACCTAGGTCTGCAGAGTCCCAGTCCCGTCCAGTCTAGTCCTCTCTTCAACATCAACATGGAGCAGGTAGGGCCTCAGCCCTTATGGTCTTACTTCAGCTCTGCTCACGTAGCTGTGCAGTGCCCGGAAGTGGGGGGGGTGTTACCCACAAAAGCTTATGCCCAAATAAATCTGTTCATCTTTAAGGTACCACCGGACCCCTCGTTGTTTTCATTGATTTCGGTGTATTTAATTGTCTGCACGACATGCTGGCTGCCTTTGTGGGCAAAAGGAGACAGGCTATTGATAATAACTAACAAATATTAATAATAAAACAATGCTAATGGCCTCATTGTGCTCCCCCCATCCCTTTTGTCTGCGGCCACTTGCTGTCTCTTGCCTCAGATCCTGTGGGGCAGGGACCTCTTTTGGTTGTTTGTACCACAACCCAGCACAGTGGGCTCCTTTTGGTCCACGACTGGGGCAAGCCACGGTTGCCACCTCTGAGCTCCCCAAAAGCCAGGACACCCGGGAGGATCCTGAGCCCATGAAGGTCGACAGGTGGCAGCGTGGGCTGAACACCCTTTACAGATCTCCCGCTCCCGGGACAGCGACCTCAAAAAAGGGACGATCCTGGGAACACCAGCATAGGTGGCAACCCTAATTTAGGAGTGAGGGATGCTAGTGCGTGGCGGCGGGGTGGGGGGGTGTCTCCCGGGGCGGGTTTTCAGCGCTTCCCCCCAGAGTCTCGGTCAGCTCGGTATGTAGGACCATGTGCTTGTGCTAGAGCTGAGCCCGGCCCCCCGCCCAGCCCCATGTCCCCAACCCCTGCGCCCGCTGGAAGGCTCTTCCTGGCCCCGCTGTGCCTTTAAGGCGAAGAGCTGCCGGGATCCGCCCACGTGTGACGAGCCCGGAGCAGGGGGCGAGGGGCGGGGTTCGATTGGCAACAACCCACCCGGTCGTTCCGTTTCGGAACGCTGAGACAACGGGCGGGCGCTCCCATTGGTGCGCCCCGGCCCGACAGAATCTCGCTGTCGCTAACGTTCGCGGCGGGGCGGCCGCAGAAGAAGCGGCCGCTGCCCTAACCGTGGGGCCGGCCGAGGTGTGTTCCAGCCCCCGGGGCTCGGGCCCTGCCGGGATCCGCCTCGACATGCCCTGACCTAGCGGGGCTCGCTGCGCAAGGTGAGCGCGGGCGCGCGTTGCCCGGGGGCAGGGCTCAAGGAGACGTGTGGGGTGTGTGGATCTAGAGCGGAGCCCCGTGATCTAGACCCGGGGAGGAGAAAGAGGGCGGGGGAGATCTAGACCGCTGTGTGAGCGCTACCCGTCGGTTTACACAGCAAGGGCACGTGGGGCGGGAGCAGAGTCCCTGCTCCGCAGCTGCGTAGGTCGGGCCGATGTAGGGGACAGGGTGCGTCCGCGTACCGCAGGGGAAAGGGGGGCGCTTCCCTGCTTCCCGCCCGCCTGGGCTGGGTGTTTCTGGCCGCCTGCGTCCGATCCCGCCTGGGACCGGGCGTTGATCCCCGTCGGCTCCCAGGCCGGGCCGATCCCCCTAGGCGAGCGCCTCCAGCCTGGCTTGGCCGCTGCGCCAGCGCTCGCGGCCTGGGGCAGCTTTGGCCTCTTGCTCGCCTTGGGCCCGCTCTCCCCCACCCTGCGGGGACAGGAGCCCACAGCTGAGGGGCCAAACCGCATCGTGCCCTACGGGGTGGGTGTTGTGGGGGGTGACTCTGCCTCCAGCTGCGTAGTGGGGCTGGGGAATGCGGTGTGACCCTTTCACCCCTCCCCTGTGTAGTTCTCCGCACCCCAGGCTGTGAATGGGGCGCTGCTCTGGCTGGGAGGGGGGGGGGGTGGCTGAAATTGGCAGCCCAGCCGAGTGACAGCAGCGAGGCTAAATCATAGCATCATAGAATATCAGGGTTGGAAGGGACCTCAGAAGGTCATCTAGTCCAACCCCCCTGCTCAAAGCAGGACCAATCCCCAATTTCTGCCCCAGATCCCTAAATGGCCCCCTCAGGGATTGAACTCACAACCCTGGGTTTAGCAGGCCAATGCTCAAACCACTGAGCTATCCCTCCCCCCAGGTGGTGTGGGGCTGTGAGCTAACAGAGGTGGCATGTCGTCCCCCCCAGCCCTGGAGACCCCTGCTCTGGTGTCTTAAACCGTCTGCACTTGTCAGTCCTGCTGTGGGCAGCCACCCACCAGGGTTGGGTTGTGCTGTTCCCAGCGGAAGTGCAGTCTAGTGGCTGGAGCAGGAAGGCTGGCTTGTGTAGCTAGCTCTGCAGCTTCCGTGGTTGTGTGCATTTGAGCCACTCGGCTTGCTGTGCCTGTTTTATCTGCAAGCAGGCAGATTGGGGGAGTGGGGGGTACTTGCCTGCTGGAGCGATGCTGGGGCTTAATATTAACTTTGTTTTGCATGGGGCGTGCTAGTTAATTGCAGGTTAATGCTTCAGGGCAGCCACCTGTAGCTTGTGACAGATCATCTCCAGACAGAGAGGGGGACATTCTGTGCCAAACGCAGGGGCCGCGATCTTGTTTCTTCTCTGTAGAAAACAAGCTCCGTCCAGCGTATTCAGGGACATGCTGCCTGCTCCCATAAACACCGTATATTTGAGGGACTAATAGACTCATTTCTGCTCTTTAAGCCGGTTACCTTGGTGAGCCTGCTACGTGTTCATAGCCTTGTTGATTCCTTGATCCAGCCCCGCTTGGCATTCGGTGACTGCCTGCTGGTGAGGGCGGTGCATGCTGATATGAGGGGCTTGGCACCGGAGCGCCCGCTTTGCCAGTAGGCGCGCTGCCCTGTGGTGCGTGTGTTCTGAAGCAGGAACTGCGGCGGGGAACTAGATTTTGAGCCCTGAATAGCCTGAGATCCCAGCCACCCATAAACTGTTGATTTGCATCTCTCCTGTTCCCATAGTGACACAGTGAAACTGAGCCGTTGTGGGATCATTACTCATGAGCTGTGCCTGCCCTGTGAGCAATGGACACAGACGCTGTGTGGGCTTCAAACTACAGGGGAGGGGAGGTCTACGCTGTGGAGTTCACCAGCAGAATTGTACGCTCCCAGTGTTGCAGGATCTAATAATTTGGTTGCGGCGAAGCAGCAGTAGGAAAGGAGTAGGGCTCGGCCTGTGAAGGGATGTGCGCAGTGGTCTCCAATGCTGGCTGTGGGGTGAAAATAATGCCCGTGTGGCCCTGCAGCTTGGAAAGGGGAGGATTGCAACGTTAAACTAAGAGGATGGACATAAGGCATGGTGGAAATAGGACAAGGCAGCTGCTTGATTGCCAATGCTGCTGGAGGAGCTTCAGCCTTGTTTTGTTCACTGGCTGAAGGAAGCAGAATCTCCACGTGAAGGGCAGTGCGAGGTGCCTTTATCTTGAATGGACTTTAAGCTGCTTGAGCAATCTTAGACAATCCCCTGCACTGTATCTTTAAGGGAATCCTGTCGGGGCTTCAGCCAATGCTTTATAATGATACTCTGTTATGCCTGCTTCCTTACATCTGTAGCTTGAAAAGCACTTTACAACATACCTCTGGGTAAACAGAGTCACAGGGGGCCCGGGACTTGATCGTGGTACTGCAATGAGTCACTAGTGCTCTGGACTCCTATCCCAGCCCCCTGCTCTAACTACCGTCCTAGAGCAAAGATGTTGTCTAGAAACTGAATGTGAGTCTCAGTTAAGTTTCCATTACAAGAGTCTGAAAATCCTGTTGCACCAAATATCTCCCTTTCTCTGTGTAAGAGAAACAGGGGAGGACATCCGTTAACATCCATCTTTGTTTAATTATCTCTCCTCCCGTCCCTGTCACGTTTTCAGGGCTGGGTTCAGTAACCTGTAGAGGAAGGACTCAATGTTCTCACTGTAGCAGATACATGTTAAATGGAGGACTTCTCCTCTGATCACCAAGTGCTGGTTATTGGGGCTGTTATAGCAACTTGGGGGCAATTCCAGGTTTGGCAGGGGGAGGGCATGGAGCTGAGAGTGGTAAGAAGGTGTTGATAAGGCCGAGGGGAGATGGAGGTGCGATTATGTAGACCCAGGAAGGTGAGTATGAAGAGGCTATCAAAGACTAAAGAGATCTACTGCGTCTGTTCCCTTCTTTCTCTAGTCTCGATTTGGCTGCACTGGGGATTACAGTGGACAGGAAGCTACATTGGAGTCAGCAGTGTGCCCTCGTTGCCAAGAAGGCAAACGGCATATTGGGCTGAATTAGTAGGAGCATTGCCAGCAGATCGAGGGACATGATTATTCCCTTCTATTTGGCACGGTGAGGCCACATCTGGAGTATTGCATCCAGGTTTTGGCCCCGCACTACAGAAAGGATGTGGACAAATTGGAGAGAGTCCAGCGGAGGGCAGCGAAAATGATTAGGGGACTGGGGCACACGACGTACAAGGAGAGGCTGAGGGAACTGGGCTTATTTAGTCTGTACAAGAGAAGAGTGAGGGGGGATTTGATAGCAGCCTTCAACCACCTGAAGGGGGGTTCCAAAGAGGATGGAGCTCAGCTGGTCTCAGTGGTGGCAGATGACAGAACAAAGAGCAATGGTCTCAAGTTGCACTGGGGTAGGTCTAGGTTGGATATTAGGAAAAACTGTTTCACTAGGAGAGTGGTGAAGCACTGGAATGGGTTACCTAGGGAGGTGGTGGAATCTCCACCCTTGGAGTTTTTTAAGGCCTGGCTTGACAAAGCCCTGGCTGGGATGATTTAGTTGGGGATTGGTCCTGCTTTGAGCAGAGGGTTGGACTAGATGACCTCCCGAGGTCTCTTCCAACCCTAATCTTCTATGATTCTATGAAATGTCCCAGCTAATGACCATCCGTCCCTTCCCTGGGGAGGCTGTTCCACAAACTAGTAGATGCTCTTGTGTGAAAAATGTCCCTGATTTTCAGTACCCTCAAATGGTTCCACAAAGCCACCTTGGACCCCAGCCTGGGCTCCTCACCTTGCATATTTCTTTCTCCTCTGCAGGTTGAACATGGCTGAGCTGGTTCATAAAAGGGGGAAGAGGCGGGACGACAACGGGCTGGGCAGTGCTGTTGACTTCCTGTTGGCCAACGCCAGGCTGGTGCTTGGGGTGGGGGGTGCTGCTGTGCTGGCCATCGCAACTCTGGTGGTGAAACGGGTAAGCCTGGGTTCCCTCTGCAACATGACTAGTGACTAATGTCCTGTTCACACTTGTCGAGCTGTGACTTCTGCATTGGGACTTAAGAACTTAAGTAGCTGTCCCTTATTAACAAAAGAGCGACACTCCCAGATTGCAAGGGATTAAGACCTTGCAATGCATCCTTCCCAAAACCACCCTAGCTACATCAATGCAGCAGACCTTCTGTATGTGTCTCTCTTTCCAAACAGTCTTTGGCCTCATCTAAGTAGAGTCTGTGATCTGGGCCAGTAGAAGCTCTGCATGTGATATCTATGTGATCAAAGATCACAGAGCCTGTTATGTGTATTTTTTGAGGGAGGAGCATTACTACAAGGGGCAAGGGAGAGAAAGCGACTTGTCTCCATCATTCTTCCCAGCCTGGGATGCTGAAATATTGCTGAACTCTGCCTATGAAGGCGATTTGGCTTTCTGTTAAAAGGAAGAAAACCGTTTGGTTTCCTCAACAAACAAACAAAAAAACAGGACCGCAAGATTTTTCTCATTTAGAACAGGGTGAATTGTTTTCAATCAAAGAGATTTAAATGACTGATTTTAATGATGGTTTGCATTTGTACTGTCTAGTTATTTCCCTAAAGAAAAGTTGATTCTCATTGGCTGCTAACTGTGTGTTTTTACGTTGATTTGCAACTAAATTTAGCAGTTACAGTTTAGGTATATTTAGTGGGTTTTTTTTTGCTAACCAGGAGGATACATTGTATCTATACACATTTATTTAAGCCAGGGGTCCCCAACGTGGTGCCCGCGGGTGCCGTGGCGCCCTCCGGGGCATTTTTGTGCGCCCACAGGACACCCCGCCGCCGAGAAGCGTTGCCGTTTCTTGGCAACGGCAATTCGGCAGCGGGGTGTCCGGCGCCCACCACGGTCTTGTGGGAATAGCATATTGCTATTCCCACAAGAAAGGTTGGGGACCACTGATTTAAGCAATTCTATAGCATAACTTAGATTTTGTATGTTAGAAAGTGGTGAATGATGCATTCCATCTTTAGTAGATTAATCTTTTTACTTGTTGTTTGGGTCAAATTCCAATCCCATTTGGATTGACATACAAATTCAGTTAAAATGCACAAAACCAGCATTTAAATTTTTATGAATTAAAACTACCGTAAATGTGCTGGATACATATTTTGCATTTAAAATTAAGTGATGTATTAAACAAAAGAAGTATTAACTGTAGTTAGTGACTTGAACTGATTATTTCTGGCCACTGCATCCTTCAAGATTTTAGGTCCTCACACCTAGTTTTCATCCATAGATTGAAGCTCTCCTGGTTTTTCAGCTCCAGTTGGTGGCTCATCTTTGAATGAACTAATCATTGAACTGAACTAATTGAATAAACTGAAATAAAGAAAATATTTTCTCTGAGTCTGTAGAAGAGGCTACTGCTGTCAAAAGTGGTTTAGCACTTCATCAGACTCTGGCTCTAGGCCAGAGACTTCCATCAGTGCAGTGAATTGACCTTTTTTAAAACTTGGCAGCAAATATGTACTGCTTAATATTATTTATGGTGTTTAATTTAAATGATCATAAGAAGTTTAGGCCTTAACATAGGTTGCCAATTTCAAATTTAGTTTTAAATTGATTTATTTTAAAAAAAATCATCCTTGTTTTCATTTAAACTAAGGAAAATCTGATTTTTTTTAATCCATTTTTTTAATCCACTCTGATTAAGAATAAGGAGCGAGGATTCAAAGGGAGAGGAAAGACTGTGCTGTATCTACATGTTCACCGCCGACAGAAGCGCTCTCTGATTTGTCTAACGTCTCTGTTCGTCTGGTGTGGAAATTCTAATGTCTTATAGTTAGACTAAGACACAGCAAATCCCCTGTAACATTCACAAGTGGGAAGAACAGCTGAGCTCTGAAACAAGCCCATCAGTCTACACAACCCATTAATCTATGATACATGTCCTCATGTTACCCTCTGCGTGTCTAGACATGCTCCCTCTGCATCCGGTGTGGGGCAGTGTACGGGGCGCTGCATTGCTGCTTGCCGTCCATACTCTTTGTTCTGTAGTGCTGGCAGCTGAGAGTAGTTCATGGGCAGTAAAAACTTGCATGAAAACTAAATAAAACTGTTCTAGAGCAATCCACTTCTGGACGGATGGATGCTTTGGCAGCAGAGCTGGGGTGAGTCCGTCGGAGATGACCACTGGTAAGAGCAGTGACGCAGCTGTGAACCTTCATTCTTGCATTTGCTCCCACAGCTGATAGACCGAGCCACCAGCTCGCCCGACGAGGACGATGCTAAGGCAGAGCAGAAGTCCATCGAGGAGAGCTGGCAAGATCTGAGCTTGATTAAGGCGGTGCCAAAGCCTCCAAAGAAGCAAAGCCGGGCAGATCTTAGCAAGTCTCTGCTGTCCCCATCTGCGACCCTTCCTGCCCAAGGTCAGGATCAATGCTGCGTCTCCTTACTCCTAGTGTCCAAGTTCTAGACAGGGTTAAAACACCTGTCCTAGGTGTTCACTGCATGTTGTTGCCATTAGGCAACCTCTTGTTTTCGTACTGATTGTTGTTCCCTAAGTCACACTACACGACCATACGAGAACTCCTCCATCCTCTGGCTCCTGGGGAACTCATCCTGTCTCCTGTCATGGACCAGTCCTTGCCTACCCTTTTCGGCTAGCCACGCTGACTCGTCTCCATGGGCTTCTTGTTTGGCATCGGGGTGTTACACCAGTGATTAATTTGGCCCAGTGTGTTCCACACAGCTGGCTGGCTAGTGGGTGGCGGATGGCACAGTTCACAGCTGGTTCCACATCACTTTAGCAGGGGAGAGATGGTTACATTCACTCCTGAGTCTCCTTGCCATCTAGACCAGATGGGGCGTATTTTAATCCAGAAATGAGAGAGCTGGCCGGATTGTGGGATGCTGGTCTAGACTGCTTGGAGCATCAGCCAGGTAGTCGGTGTAGATACTAAGATACTCTGAGGCATCAAGCGGATGGTGGTCATGGAATGTGGAGCTCTTCTCATCTAGGTGCCTGTTCAAAGCCAGCCCATCTGGCAGTGATTGCAAGTCACTGCTTCTGTCATTGGCTTCCATAAATTACTTATTCATAGAATATCAGGGTTGGAAGGGACTTCAGAAGGTCATCTAGTCCAACCCCCTGCTTAAAGCAGGGGCAGTCCCCAATTTTTGCCCTAGATGGCTCCTTGAAGGATTGAACTCACAACCCTGGGTTTAGCAGGCCAATGCTCAAACCACTGAGCTATCCCTCACTCACTTGTAGTATTGTAGCCTGGAGAAGCCCAGTCACAGACCAGGTCCCCATTGTGCTAGGTGCTGTACGAACACAGAACTGACAGTGACTGCCCCCAAGAGCTTTTGTGGTGGTTTTATCCAGTTTCTAATGGGGTGTGCCTGAATCAAAGCCACCAGGGTAGAGAGCCCCCATTGTGGAACTTGAGGGGACATCTGTGCTGGGCCAACTGACCCAGGCTCCTGGGACTATAAAATTGCAGGGTAGAGGTTCGGGCTCAGAGACCGTCCTCCCTCTGGGGGTCCCAGAGCCCAGGCTCCGGGCTGAGCCCAAGTGTCTACACTGCAATTCTGTAGCCCCGTAGCGTGAGCCCGAGTCAGCCTGGCCCGAGTCAGCCTGGCCCAAGCCAGCTGCATGTCTCTTACGGCAGGCAGACGTACCCTGAGTCTCTAAAGGACCAGATTGAGTCAGGAGACCTGGGTCTCATTTCCAGCTTTGGCACTGAATCGATGACCCAGGGCAAGTCACGAAGTCTTTCCTACTGTGGCTTTTCAGTCTGACATATGAGGGTAATCCCTGTCCCGGCATGGTCGTAGGGCTTAGTTGTGATCTTTGAGTGAAAGGTGCTGTGTAACTGCAGAGCATTCACTGGTACTTTGCTGGCAGTCTCAGCTGAGAGGCCAAGGATTGGATGACCCTGGATATCAAGCTAAAGCCTTGATGATCCTTCCAGGTCAGGAATGAGACGTGTCGGATGCAGCTGGCATGGGGGAAGCTGGCACTGCCCTTGCTCATGCTGTTGCTGTTCTGAGTACAGATTTGGTCTCCAGCTCCGATGATGGTGATCATTATTTTTTGTACTTACAGTGCCCCCTCTGGAAGCATTGACTCTCTAATACATCTCTTTATTCCCTTCCCAGCCGCTGAGCCTCATGGCCATCCCACCTCCCCGGAGACTCCCCAAGAAGAATCCAGGACTCTGCTTTGTCTCACGTTCCAGGAGAAACTCCTCTCTTACTACAGAAACCATGTCACCATCCCAGAGACGGACGTGGCCCTGGGTAAGCAGCTGGCAAAGGACATCTGCATTGAACTGCAGAGCTTCCTGCAAAACAAGTGCCCAGAACTGCCCTTCGGCAGCATGTTCCTCAGTGGTTCCCTCTGCGACGACCTCCAGGTTGTTGCTGCTGACCATGTCTGCTTCATGCTGCCCTTGGTATTTGAAACCACGCTCTGGAGCCTCATCCCAGGCGAGGACACCATTGTACAAGACCCCCAGTTCTGGATGATCAGGCGGACTGACCTGGAGTACTTCCCTCGTGGGAGCAGCCCTTGGGACAGATTCATAGTAGGCGGGTACCTCTCCTCCAACGTGCTCAATGAGGTGCTTCATAAAATGCTGGTGGCCTCCGTCAACTGGCCTGCCATCGGCAGCATGTTGGAGTGCCTCATCAGACCCGTGGTGGCTTCTGAGGAGCTGAAGTTGGAGGTTACGCATTACGAGACCCAGCTGAACATAACCCTCTGCCCAGTGACAGAAGCTGGGGATAAGGTTCTTCTTGCCATGCCTCCAAAAGGACTCGTGGGAAACCTCTGGCGACAAAGCTTTTATAGGTCTGAGGTCTCCAAGCTTAAAGATCTGGATGCTGCAGACTCTGGAGCCAGGCGGTGCTGCCTCAAAATCCTAAAAGGCGTCTGTAAAAACCATCCCTTCTTGAGCAAACTGACTGGCAGCCACCTGACTCATGTCCTTCTCCACCTGAGTGAAGCTGAATCAGACTGGGCAGAGGAAGCCCTGGCTGCGAGGTTCCAGCACGTGCTCGAATCGTTGGTTGGCTACCTGGAGACAGGCTTCCTCCCCTGCTATTTCAACAGTCAGATTAACTTGTTCTGCGAGCTGCTGGAAGAGGAGATAGATGAGATGGGGTATGCACTCTACAGTGCTGTATCTCAGCCAGACCTCTTGTTGCAGGAATGTGTCGATAAATGAATTGTGAGCCTGGGAGATCCTGATTGTAGGTTTTTTGTGCTTCTCTGCATCCACTTCTCCAAGATGAGTGGATTGCAAAGCTTCTCACTTCCTAGTCGCTACCAGGTGAAATCCTTGCACTTAGTGAACGAAGTATTCACTTTTTCGACACAAGGTGCCTGAGTAAAGGGATGGGAAATGGGATCTGGAGCCTATCACCACCAGGTCTCGCCACTTCCAATCCAGCCCATGGCTGTAGTCTCAAGAAGTCAGGTACCATCTATTGAGTGGTGAGGCCTGGGTGAAGTGAGTTTGGTCTCCCTCCAGTTCCTAGTGAACTAGTGTCCCTACCAAACTGCCATCACAGTTGGCACGATGAGGCCCAGGACTGAATGGGCCTGGAAACTGAACTGAATTACCCCTTGTTCCTGGAGATAGGCCCTGCAGACCAAGGCGAACCTTACACTGCCACTGCTTGTCCTGTACCTTGGCTGTGTATAAACTGGACTTGTCTTCAGGGCTCTCAGTCCAGCCCCTTTCACGAGCACAAGATTCACTCTTAAAGAGCCAGGCTCTCAACTTCTTGGGGGGCTGTGTTGGAACCTGGTATGTATTTGCAAACCCAGGATGTTGGCAGCATGAAGGGACAGGCCTGAGGAGAGAATCAGTATCAACTGATCATGCACCACGGGATATTGCCATAGCCAGTCAGCTCCCATCTGCTTTTTCCTGACGCACTTTCAGTGTTACGAGTGCAGCTGCCCCACAGGACAAGCTAAATCTAACCGGTGTTGCTCATTCCGTTAACGTGAGCTCCAATAATAGGGGTTCAGGACGCGATTGTGAGTCTTTTTTTTTATGTTTTCACTCTCCCTCCTTATGCACTTTTTGCTACAAACTTCAGCGGGAGCTCCACAGCGGGATTAAGGGTGGTGATGATTGAGGGAGAGAGATGGGTCCTACAGGGTTGTTTCCACAAAGCCTTTCGGTATAGATGGAACTAAGTGATCCTGAATCTTGCTACAACTGGACACACACAAGATGGTAGCCTGGCTGCAAGTTAGGACAATGCTGTAGCTACTGCTGTCGTCCCCAAGTTCCCCTCTGCTTTAAAAATGAATCATGTTGACAGTCCCCACTCCAGCTTTTCAGATTCAACTGTTTTTATGCATATGTTGCTGCTATCTAGCGATCCTGCCCCTTCTAGGTCACCAGTAAGACTCCGCTTACCCCAGAAAGGGGCAGGATGGGGACGATGCTTTAAGCAGAAGGCTTCCTGTTAGCAAGAGCTGAAGTGGTTTTATGTTTGTTTTCCTGTTAAGAAGGAGTTGGTTTTGTATTGCTGCTCACAGATTTACTTTGGTACCAGCTCTATTTCAAATACTAAAAATACATTTTCTGACTGTTCTCGTGAATTAAGAACCATGCCTGTTTTGCACACTATGGGTAGAAAATAAACCTGCAGCCTTTTAATGTGAGTATCTACTGGTGTTTAGTTTTCTCTGCAGAGATGGTATTTTGTGTTTTGTGGGGGGGAGAATAATCTATTTCTCAATGCACTGTGATTTCCTCTAATCTGAAGACTACTTGATCTGTAGGCACTAAACCATGTTAGTGACGAGAATAAAACCTCACTGCGGAATGGGTGTCTTGTGTTGGATAACAGCATTGGCTCTGCCTATCTGGGTACTTATGGCCCTCGCTACCAGAGGATGACTCCCTGCTGCTTTAAAGATAGTACAACTCTATCACTCTCCCCCAGCCCCTTCACAGATTTCACCCTGAGGGGAGATTTCACTCAGGAAACGGCAGTTTGAATTGAGGGACTCAGGCCTTTAATTCTACTTCATGATGAGCTGTAGCGTAAAAGGCATTTCTTGCTGCCTTAGTTTTCCTGGAGAACAAGATTCCTGTACGTGCTACTAGGGTTTCAAAACGGTCTGCGCTCGCTCTTACGTTCCCTTTAGCTGAATGCGTGTATAGTGCTCTGACAATTGAAGTACTTGGCTGGCCAAATGGGGACACTGTCTTTAAACCACACTTTGTGTTGTGCGGTGAAACTGATAAGAGATCATGCTGAGCGTGTTTTAGCTGTGTGGCAATAAGCAGCAGAGGCTTGCTTCTGTGGGTGAATAGACTGCAGCCAGCTTACTGCTACCGTAGTTATAACAGTGCTGACTAAAGTTCTGCTACAGTGTTCAGCCAGCTCAACGCTTGCCCTACAAAGCCTCTTTTAATCCTTTGATTTTAGCCAGCAGGTCGGGGATGTATTTTTAGGCCACAGCTGCTCCTAACAGTAGGAGTGAGGGACAGAGAAGTAAAATAGAATGTTACATGGTATTTCTGTTGACCTTCCTTTGTATTTTGCCCTGATCCCAGGAGAATTACTGCAAAGTTGTCTGAAGGTGGGGAAGTTGCTATAATTCAGTTTGAGGAAGGACACTTCCCCTGCCCTCATTCCCAAGCATTTTAAAATGGGACTGGCTCTCTGAGGATGAACTCCATGGGTTTCAGTAGAGTTACTCCCCAGTTCCTGGGTGAGCATAATGCAACCAGGTCTACCTATAACTGATCAGATCAGCTTCTCTGACTCAAGTCACGTCTAGCAAGTATTTTTGCTTTTTTCCTTCCTGTCTGCTGAACCTTCTGCCTCTACTCTGTACTAACAAAGGGATTCCTGTTTCTGTATTTCTAGAGCTTCATTTGCAGTGCCTGCTAAGGAAAGGGAAATCAAGGCTCTCTTCTAAACAGATCCACTAGCTACCAGAGGGGGTAGAGGGAGTCTTCAGAGGTACAGGCAAGCTGCATGTTGAATGCCAAAGGACTTTATACATCACAGCAGAAAAGGGTATATAAACCTAGTGTAAAGGCAGCCTGAACTCCTACTTTCCTGAGCAATATCAAGTCAACTCTTGTTTTGCAGGTGATTACGTACAGACTAATAAACTTAACACCTTTTAACAGTTTGGAGGAAGGAAGAAAGAATAGTTTGACTCAGAATCCCCTTTCATTCAACTTTCAACTGCTTGTTAATGTCATTTTGTTTAATGCTTTAGACTGTGGAAAACACAATAAAGCAGCCAGCAGGGAACAAGATCAGGCTTTTTTCCTTTTGTAGATCACTTCTAAATAAAGCTCCCTGGATTTACTGCCCAGCAAGTGGCCACATTGTTCCTGTGAATAGCTGAGGTGGGGAGTGGTGGAAACAGCTGCTTTTAGGAAGAGAGTTTTCAGCTGAGCCTACGGTCAACTTATTTAGGCAAGAGGCAGTAAGGAGGGGGGAGATAGTGACACCATTCCTTCATAATTTAAAACACAGAGCTTAAGTAAAATAAAGAGTTCTCCTTTTTATTAAAAGGCACTTCAATCTGACCAAAACAATTTGCATTAGCTAGCAGCTTCATTAAGTTCCCTTGCTCACAGTGTCCAAGGAGTAGCTGGATTCTAAATTCAGTATCAGCCTATGTGAAGGTTCTCAGGTTTGAGCACTTGCACTAAGCTCCCTCTCCAGGGCAAGGGCTTGAGGCTTTACTTTCTCTGCTGTTAATTCTCCTTTGGAGGCAAGAGTCAGGGGTGTAAGGAAATACTGACTGACTAACCCTAAGCTGGAAGGGTAACTTAAAATATCAAATCCCACCCTGTGAAAAGCAAGAAACTGTTTCACAACCATCAACAGAGATGGTTTCCTGGACAGCATCATCCCTAACTGCTCCCTGGTCTTCAAACAAACCACACCAGCTGCTCCAGCAGTGTGTGTAAAAGGTTTCCTCCCAATTCCTTCAGTGCTACTCCTTTTAGCCCCCCACTATTTCCTAGACAGAAGGGCCTTGGAGAATAGTGGCTGTGGAGAGATTTGGGGTTTGCAGCTCTGGGAAAAGCCTCTCTCACTCCCCAGCAACCAGCTGTATTTTTGTCCAAAGCATTATCTGAGAAGGGACCTAGTCTTTTGGGTTTCTAAACACGTTGCCTGTGTTTACAAAATAGCCCACAGAATACTAGACCAAGGAATGGCAGCAGTAGTTGAGTCTCCTTTAGAAGATAGCCCAGTGTCTGAATAAGTAAGAATGAAACTTCCCAAGGCATAGTGGAGTGTGCTGGTCACCACCAAGAGCAGACCTGCTTTAGCCACATTTCCAGAAAGTGGTTTGAACACAAGCCCCAGAGACATTCTACTTTTAAAATCCACTGCATCTCTACAGCCAGCCACTCCTGGAGCAGTTCAGGACTGGCTTTTTCAGCGTTTCCTACAAGAGCATCCCATCTACTGTCCTTCCTCAGTGGTCCTGAGGACATGTCTTCCTGGTGTGACCAAGCTGGTGGCAAATGCCACAGGTCCGTTGTCTCTTGGGAGTAGGTCCTTTTTCAGAAGAGAGATTACTTGGTCTTTTAGCTTTGCTTCCTGACCCTCTTAAGTGCCCGTCGCTCCTGAATTGGTTTGAAGAGAAGGCTCCAGCAGTTCCTACAGAGAGAGAGAGACAGACAGTTGGTTCTAAGCAGTTTAACACCATGTGAGCCACAGAAATAGGGGAAGAATGACAAGTCCAGATGCAGGGGACATGGCCAGGGAATTTGGGTCCATTTAAATGTTTTATTAATCCCACTACTCAAAAGTGTTCAAGAAATTAAAGATGCATCTGTTCTGTTTGGATTTATATGCTCTCGGGCAGCATCTTGCAGCTCTGGGCTAGTGCACGAGATCAAAATGGGAAGCTACCTCAGTAATTAGTTTAAACTATACAAAGTCCAAACTGTAAACAGCAAAAATAATACAGTCGACTTGACTTCAGCTAATTTCACTTTTCCCCCCTAAGTTTGCTTAAAAAAAAATTGGATATTTAAGGGTCACATTAAATACTTGAGTCCCTTTTTTAAAAAAAAAACCTTTCTGTACCTACTATAATTGAAATGAGTTGTACAAACATCTTTTTTCAGCTCCTCCTACTTTGTAATTTGCCAGCACTCCAGGAATAGTCACTTTCACCATTCCCCCCTTTAGAACGGTCAGTTTCTCTGTTGCTGAAGAGACCATTAAGAATAAAAGGGAACCAGGAAAAAAAACCCTTTTAAAAAAAATAAAAAAGGAATAAAAGGATTCCAGATAGGATTTAAAGTTTTAAAAATAGCCAACTGTATCCCTTTAACATTTGATTCCCTCAGTTGTCCCTCTGAGGAAGGTTTGATGCTGCCCTACCTGGCAGTTTTAGCTCTTCCCATTAAGTAGAAATACAAGAGGGAGGATGATCCACATTTAATGGAGCTTAAACAGAGGTGGTGGGATGAAGTGCAGCTCCAGTGCCAGCAGAGGGCACAGAAGCACCAAATTGATGCCCACTCCCTTTTCAAGTTCTCATCCACTCAGAAACAGATTTCCTGAAAACAGGTATTTCCAGCTGGCAGCACATTCCCCAACCTATGAAGGTTAGGAAAGGTCAAGAGCTCTGTGCCTTGAACTGTGCCTTTGAAATGAATACCCACGCAGCTTACCACAGCCAGCCGTGAGAAGTCCCGTTACCTGAATAAATCTGTTCCGGGCTAAATTGTATCGGGGTACCTGTCACATACCCTGCTCTAGCTCAGTCAAAGGGACAGCAATTTAAGACAGAATTCTGAGTTTCCTTATTGTTACAAAGAACCAGGTAAGATTTTTAGACTAAATGGACAGTTCTTTAAAGGACAAATCTAATGCATTTCAGACGAGTTACCTTACAGCAGCCCGAGTCCCTCTGCCAAGTTCTGTAGCTCTGCAGTCCTTTTCCTGTTTTTATCTGAAGTTTTTGAAGAATGTGCCTGAGGGGTGCCCAATATCTCCCTTCAGTTCAGCTTTAACACACAGCCCCCAGCCATTACATCCCACCCAAACCCCAACTCCGAGCACAAGCCCATCCTCACCTGGGGCCACGTTTTCATCCACCCACTGGAAGAAGCCGCACTGCTGCTCTCTCGGCTTTGGGCAGGTGTGGAACTGACGCCCTTTATTGGGTCCCTCCTTTTGGACTGTGCGTGTGATGGCCGGCTGATCGCACTTACACATCGTGCCACTGCCCCCTCCTCCCGAGTCAAAACCATTGCTTCCATAGCGGCCCAGACCTCTTCCTCCTCCAAGGCTCCTGAAGCTTCCTGGAGGCCTTTCACCCAAGGAATCGGGGGGTGCAGCAAAGCTCCTGTGGGTTACGCTGTTTCCATCATCTGATTGTTGATCGGCCCAGAGGAAGAAGTTGCAGCTGCCGGCACTGCATTTATAGAACTGCCTGCCCTGGTTGGGCCCTTCTTTACGCACCGTGAGCAATGCTGCCTCCTCCCTACAGTTGCACACCACTGCATTGTTCTCAGCAGCAGCAGGAGCTGGATGACTAGCAGCTCTGGGTGCCCTTGCTACACCAGGGTTTGTGGTAGGCCTCATGTGACCATTCTCATAGCTGGCCATGCGGTTAAGGGACTGGTTGACTTGTAGGTAGTTAGCTGGCCGGTTGACTGACTGTACCGGTCTGGATGGTCCTTGTAAATATTTCAGGTCCAAGATCTCTCTCAACATCTCATCGCAACCTCCAATACAGCCAACAAATTCCAGTGGCAGCAGGGGTGGAACACTACCTCGCTTGAACTTAAATTTCAGCCTAAATGAAAAAATCCGTATCTCAGATC